AAGTAATTCTGGCCCCAGGGTCTGCCCATAGTCAAGAAAATTAATGAATAAGCAATGTGTTTAATCCTTTCAAGTGGATAACAAACACACTAAAGATAAATGAGAAATATTGAATACAGGTCCAGAATTATTTGAATCATCAACTTCAGTGGTCACAGACCAGCAAAATACTTCCAAAATAGGATATCACATATGGAAATGCATAATTCAGGTCATCAGTAGAGATGTGATAACACAGGTGACTGCGCTAGGGGAATGAGCAAGTACCTTAAGGGTTAGTGTGTGTATTTCTCTCTATGTGACCTCTGTGAACTATACCTGAACAAAAGAATCTATTATTCTGAGAGGAATAAAAAAAGACTGTCAAGAGGAAACCAGTAAGCAATCTTGCTTTTAGTAAGACCACTGATAGAACAGAATGTGACTTTTTGGAACTCAGAAAATACTATGGCATTCAAATTAACGACACAAAATGCTCTGAGCAGGAAAATAAACTTCTACAAGTGAGATTTCAGATGCTCAATGTATTGAAGAGAAATAAGATCAAGGTCTGAACTACATATTGTCCATAGTTAGTAACTTACAGGAAAATAAGAGAATAGAGAGGTTTTCAAAGTTGCTAACAAAGAAGTGATAAGATAAAATGGCTAGAAGTTGTAATTACACACAATCGAGCTTGAAGCAAATTCAGTAACCTATTTGTGAAGCTAACTGAAAAATAAGAACAGTTTTGTTATCAAAGGTCACAAATATATTACAAATACATTGTTCAGCCTGGAGAACAGAAGGCTTCAGGGATATCTTATTGTGGCCTTTCAGTTCTTAAGAAAGGCCTGTGGGAAAGATTGGAACTCTGCATTTATAAAATCCCCAGTGCCTAATCTGATTTATGGGAAAAAACAGAAGCTGCCCATGCCCAAAGATGTGTTTCTGTAGAAGTATGACACTTGTCTGAAAAATAAATCTTGAAAAATGCACTTTTCCTCTAAGACAAAAATCAACTTACTAGCAACAAATATTTATTTATTTTTGACATTTTAGTAATTCCTCTCCTTTCTGAAATGCAACAGGTGGCATGAAATTCACTTTGCACCTGTGATATACCCATTCTATGGATAACAATGTAATTCTATTTACCAGGAACAGCAGATCATCTTCACCCTTAAGCAAATCTAATTGAACTAGCATTAGGGGAAAAAAACCCCAAACAATGAAACAAGAATAACATTTTCATTTGGCCAAGAAGAGTTAGATTACAGTGCAATCTGTTCAGCATTTGAAGGATGCCAGGGTAGTAACAATTTTTAATTAAACAGTGTCTGGTTTTATTCAGTTGTACAGGTACATCAATTTGTTCTTTTTGGTAGCCACTGTGCGACCCCTCAGCTAATTATTGCTAATGTTTTGCAGAATATGCAGCAGTTAATTATTGTTATTAGTGTAATTAGTTTGCTAAATATACGCAGGTAAAGTATGGTCTGAGGATTTAGAGGGTCTTTTGTACCTATTTTTTGTAACACTGAAAAATAGACCCAAACCCAGAGGTCTGAGCTGCGACATACTAGGGACCATGAGAGTGCTCACTTAACTGTCCAGATGCAGATCTCTGAGGGTATTTATAAGCAAAACCTGTTTCAAAACCAGTAAGACTCTTAGGGTTTAAACCCTACATCAGGCAACTTGAAGTAGGTTTGAACAGTCCTGTCCGAGTACCTGAAACTTCTGAGCTGATCTGAAACTTCCTGTTGAACCAAAGACTGAATGTAAATTTATTTTTTTTTAATTGAAACTTAACTATCATTAGAAATGTGTAATTCCAGTTTGGACTATATTCCAATGAGAGTCAGTAAAAATTTACTTTTACATGATTTCATTTTAGTTCCTGGTGCTAGCCTAGTTTTGCAGCCTGAACTTGCAGCAGAGTGTATAGTTCTTCTTGATGTTTGACACAACCTACACAAAGTAATAAATCAGCATATTGCTCTGCAAACAAAAATAGTTCTATTTTCAGAAGTCTTAGAAGGGATAACTCATTTTAAGGAATCTACAATCTATAATTACAGAAATCAGTTGCTAGGAATACATATAGCTTTGTACATTTAGTTAAACTGAACTCTGGTTTTGAGGTGGTGCTTTTTCCCCCTATCAAATAGTGGCAGAGATTTATCTTTGTTTCTGCCACTGATTATGAATGTGAGGACCCTAAAGTAGCAATTTTTAAACTATTTGCAGTTTAAACATCATTACTCTGAATGTGGTGAGTGGGATGTGCTGACTTTACCTTCTATTACCAATTCTTACAACATTTCTACTACACTGGATAGTCCACATAACAGGAGGTTGGCTGTCCTTCTGCCATCACAGAGAACAGAACTCGGGAGACAAACCTGATACCAAAGGCAAATATTCTATAAACACCATCAAAAGAACATCTATTGCTGATGTCCTCCTCCTCATTCCTCCCTGTCCACACATGTAACTTAGCCCCTTGCAATGAGCACATGATTTTGAATGCAGAGATCTCCATACATACAGTGTGAAGTGGCACAGTAAGAGAGTACAAGAAGGTAGGAATCAGAAGATCAAAATGCCCAGCGGATCTCTAAAAGTGACTTATGTCCAAGGGCAAAAGAAATATTTTAATATTTCCTAAGGAAAATTTCTTTCCAAATCTTAATTATTTAATACTGAACAAGATGAGAAAGGCTTTCACCAGAAAGAGGTTTCCCACTCAGCAACTTACCACAGCTGTTAAGGCTTTTATCATGACTTAAAAAGCAAAGAAAGTGGGAAAAGAAGTGGAAAGAAGATAGGATATCATCTATATATCATCCCATATATCACATATCTGTCAAAGTATAACCTAGGAACTGCACTTTTGTTTTTTAATCTCTGATCTTTATTCTACACAATACTTTATATTCTAAAACTTTTTTAATGGTTAAATTCATGACTAACTCAACAGAGTGAATCTAGGCCATCAGGGGAAAGCAGAGCTCATCTTGGAGAATGAAAGTAGTCACTCAGGCCTTTTTCTGCTTTTAATCCAGTGTAAATTAATCCTACCTCTACAGCAGTCAGAATGAATTAATGATTTATGGATTGACATCAATTTTTCCGTATCTCTAACAGAATTTGATCAGTTGGACTATTTCTCATGATTCTACTGAAATATTTCATGTCCTTTCCACGCTGGAAGTTCATAGCCAGCAAATTATGAATGGCCCATCTCCCTTCGTCTGGATTCTTAATTCTCAGTTGCTGTTTTTTCCACCAGAAACTTCACTTTTGTGAAAACAACAGATTTTCACATTCCCATTGAATGTCCTAACTATCCACTTTGTCCTATTTTCATTTATCTAGTCCACAGAGACACCCAATTGTTGAATATTTACATGGTCCTCGGCTTTGGAGGTGTATCATTTCCTTGTATTACAGATGTTAAGGCTTTATTCTCATGAAATCAACAGCTTATGTTTTCTGAACAAAAAGATCTGAACAAATATCATTTGTGCTTTAAAACTCTTATCTAACAGTAAATAGGGACTCTAAAAATTCCTCAGTGCTTTTATAAAATGTGGCTTTTATGGCTCAGTTATACTATGATTATGATATAGTTTGTAGTATCTTTTGTTTTGGTGAGTGAGTCTTCAAATTTACATCGTTCTCATGATAATATGCTTAGGAAAAAATGCTGCCATCTTTTAGATACACTCAGGAAAAAAAAAATAATGTGACATTTCACTGAAAGTTCCAGCTGACACATCCTAGATACCTGATTTACCATTGAAAATTGCAGAAAGTTACTCTGAGATAACCAGTGTTTTCTTCTTTCCCATTTAATATAGTGATCATAGCACAACATCTGGGCAAGAATTGTTTGCTTGGTTAAGCAACACTGATGGAAGATAGCTTTTATTGACAGATGTGCCACTGAAGTTGAAGCCAAACATAATAAGAAAACAGATAAAGACAGGAAATTACATCCACTCTGAATAATTAATTTTTTTCTGCATCTATACCTTGTCTTGCTGTTTGAATGGGAAATAAACTTGTTTGATCTATGCAATTATTACAATTCAGTTTCACAGCTTATTTATCCTGCAATTTCTTTGAAATCTAGGCTGGATATACTGTATTATCCTTTTTCTGTTGTGTGTTTTCTTCTTCTCTTTTTCTTTTGAATTTACATAAGATGTAATCAAATGCTTGTTGTGTGGCCAGCTCAATACACTGGCTTCTGAGACAAACACTGCACGTTCAGCAAAGTCTGTTTAAGAACAGAGAATGCTACTGTCAGTGAGAATAAATCAAATGTGATAATATCTGGGAAAAAGAAAATATTTTCTGGAGAAACTAATGACTCCTCTGAAAAGATACCATTGTCAGACACTAGCATATCTTGCCGGTGCTGGATGGTGGTATTAAAATATGCTGCAAATCTACCTTATCACCTGGAGTGAGACTCAGACATGCATTCTGTAACTGTCCGGGAAGGAGAGGAGACTAACAACAGCTAAGCCATAATGTCACTCAGCAAGAAATTCAAAAGGAAAAGTGGGGAAGGAAGCAGAGGCACTGTATTCATCCCTCCCTTCCTTGCACTGTGCAGCTGACTTTGCAGTTAGTTTCTTTCTGCCTAAGCACAACAACTGGCAGGCCAACAAGTTACATCCACACTGTTCATCACACCATCACCCCTCACCAAGTGTTAGAGGGACACGGCCGCTTGCTGCTACACTAACAGCAGCAAGCTCCTCAGTGGAGCCAACGTTAGTTTTACAGAACCATCCAATTAAAAAGGCTTATAACATTTCAGTCTGCAACAAATTAAGCTGACTCACTGCCCCAGTCATGAACTATTATAAAATGAGTCTTTTATCCAAGCCATGTGCAATAGAAAGAGGAATGAAACCCCTCATTAAACAATGTTCTTATTCTGTGAACTTTAGACTCCCAATTCACCCCTTCTCCCCAAATATGCTGTTGCTGAAACTTACCGCTTTTGCCAACTCCCCCTGCTCCTAGCATCACCACCTTGTACTCTCTGGAGCCTGCTGAAGAATTGCTGGAGGAGCTGATCATTTCGTTTTCTAGCTCCATCTTGCACGAGGCAGAAGAAGAGAGCAAAAGCAAAGAAAAAGCAACTGGCAAGTGCTTTCTCTGATCTTAAACAACTATAAAAGCTGAGCTGGGGAAAAAAGAAAAGGCGTCAGAAAGGAAAGGTATAATGCAAGAGGTACGATTTATCAGCCTCGCACTCGCTGCTGTGCCTGTGTAGCTGGAGAAGGTCTCATAGCAACCACTTTAACAGCTTCCAATAAAAATCTCTCTCTGCCCCCTCCCAGCTCCGTACCATTCTCTCTGTTTCTCTTCCTGGACAGAAGCAGTTTTGTGAGGCTCAAGAGCCCCAGTACCTCTGGGTGTTGTTGAGTCCTTGGAATCAAATTGAGCAGACCCTCCAGTAAGAGAAAATGGATCAAATTCCTTAATTATGATGCTTGTTATTCCACGTAGCGCTTGCTTGAATCTTAAATAATAACAAAACAGACCAGGCAACCTTTTTGTCACCTTGGAGTTTAATATTCGTGCTATGTTCATCAAGTTTCCTGGATTTACATTAGATATGAATTAAGCAATAACTTTCAACAGTCTTTGCTCCCCATGAAGCTTACTTCAAAGCACAAAAGTTTTGTAAGGTTAAGTTTGCCCCCATGTCAATTCTGTTTTAGTTCAGTTTGCAAACATCACTTGAAGAAATAAACCACGTATTTTTTAAACAAGGCTTGTTTGTTCTTTTTCTTTCTCCCCACATAGAATTCAGGAGATTGATACTGAAGGCGAGGAGTAAGATCTGTTTATCCAGAAAACATCCATGTAGGCAAGGAAGAAAAACAAATTGTTCTAAGTATTTAATATCAAGCACAATGTCAGCACAAATAAATAAGAATATAATAAAACTGAAAGTCTGTGAATGAAATCCAGTGTGAAAATTTCCCAGTAGAAATTTTCAGTGAAAACTTAACCACTAAGGACTGTAGTGCTTCATCGATTTCTAATGTCCTTAATAGATCTGATATATGTAAAGAATGTAGTAAGTAACAAAATACTCACACAGCTTTAACTGTTTTGCAGTATTTTGGAGGACCAAAAAGCATCTACTGAAAAAGGGGTAGAAAGCAAAAACTTACACTCCTGAATAGTGCAGGGCCTTCATGACAGGTGCAACTATTCAGATGACAGGGAAATGGAAGCAGAAGAAGCAACTATTGAAGTATGTTGGAAGCCTTCATCTCTCCAATTCTCCAGTTATTTCACAGAAAGTAAACGTGTGGCATTACACATGAATACAAAATTAAAAGTTGGAATGTAAGGAAAAAAAAGCCAAAATATCATAGCCTGATGAAGGATGTTAATTTGAAGAGAATAGGGAAGAAGAGGGAAAAATATAAAGGACATATGTATGAAAAACTGTTTAACAGACTAAGAAAATGCATGAATAAACAGAAGAGAATTATGTTTAGAAAGGAGAAAGTGGACAGAACATGAATATTTTTTTTCCCTCCTAATAGAAAATTAGGAAACATCAATGAAACATACTGTAGCTGGGTTCAGAAATTGTAAGAGTCATGCCTAACTTAAGGAACTTCTTGCCACTTCATGTTTTGGGCAGTAGAAGTGAACCTGTAATGAAAAAGAATTTAAATGCAAGGAAATACAAAATCAATTGGATACTATTAAAATCACCACCTTTTGCTTAAGAAGTATTCAGCTTACACTAATAGATGCTGGAATAACACTGACGAGTTGGATTACGATGGTCTGTTTTCAGCTAGACAGCAAAAGAGAGCAGAGGGAGAGTATTCTGAGAACATCCACAATCAGGATGCGCTACTGTTGTCCTACAGGATTTCTGTAATAACCATGCTGTGAGCAGTTTTGTCCTGTCAGGGCTGTGTGGCTATATTGATGCCTGGATGCAAACCTCAGAATTCAGAATGACTTGGCCATCAGAGTATAAAATAGGACTCAAACAGGAACTTCTGAATGTAATAATGTGATGTCTAAATATTGAATTACAGTGGAAAGAGACAGGTAGGTCAGTAAATCCCTGTTGTAGGTCAGTAAATCCCTGTTGTGACTGAAATTCGATTTTCATTAAAATCATTCTCAAGTGCTCAGTATTGACACATTAGATAAAACTAATAAAGATACCAAAACTGCTGCTTAGAATAACTGGGTTTTCCTGGTCATCTCCCATCAACACAGCAACCTGCTCATCAGGAGAGTTTAACCCCTTAACAGTTTTCATTTGGCTAATATTAAAATGTCAGGAAAGTGAGTGACTGTGCGAAATATTAAAAAACCAAACCAAAACAAAAAAAAAATAGTGATGATAATGTATAGGGAACAGATAAGAACTAGTCAGATTTCTTTTCCATCTGTTGGTGTCTGCCAGAGAAAAGAGGTAAGTCATTTTTCTTTTGGTTTATAGCTGGAACATGGGGAAGAAATGGAAGAGGCTACAGAAGGGAATTATGTTAGAACAGGAAGTAGAGTACAACAAAACTAAATGGAAAGCCACTTCCTCATCTAGAAAAAAAAAGACAGTATTTTTATGTCTGAAAGACTGGAATTAAAACATATTTTATCTGTTGAATGAGGATTAACCAGTTTAAATACCTTCTTTAAAGACAGATACATGTTTATTATACAGTTTAATAAGTATTATTACATTAAGTATATCCTCCTAATTTTCAGAGAGACTTGTCCAGAGCCTTAGGAGGTGATACTTGATTTCCATTTATAATGCAGGACTTGTTCTAATTGCTTTTCATCGTAACTTCCTATTGAGAAACAGCCTACTCTGCCCTAATTTCAGTCAGTTCATTAGCAGAGAACAAGTATTTTTCTTCATTCCTATGTACAACAACATCGATTAGTCTTCCTGCTCCCACCTGAGCAGAAAAGTACAAGATTTTGCTTTCAGTGTGCTGCCAAGAAAATGAATACTGAGATGATTTGAAATGACTCAGCTTGAAACACATAATACAGGGGAAAAATCACCCACATAAATGCTTTATGGACAACAGGAAGAAAGAGTAAAAGATGCAACTACTGAACCTGAGATACTAAAGATTTCTAAAGAGCTACTTATTCCACAACAAATTCCAACCCTCTATTTTATCTGTTTCCCTGTGCTTTTTTATTTAACGAATTCAAAGTTTGAATTCCTATTTTGTCATTTAATATTGAAATAGCTGTATGCTCAGATAATTAAGGATGCTTAGGTCTTAAACAAAAGACAACATACAGATAGGTATGTTAGAAGAGAAGCAGATGAGCTTTTCGTAGACAAAATGCCATTAGAAAACAATGCCATTCATCCTACATCCCCACTTGCTCTGGGGGTGTTGAATAAAATAATGAGATGTTAATACAACATGTAAATGTTCTGAAATTGTTTCCTAGGGCACTTTATGTTGAGGAGATTTTATCAATTAACCTGGGTAAATATTCTTGTCATTAGGGAGGGAGCTCATGAGTTTAAAGACTTGAATAGCAAGCAAAATGCAAATCTTGACTGATTTGTGCTCCATTAAGTGGTGGGTTAAAGGCATGTGAACCATTTAATAATAAGCAAATATGCATGAGCCCACTGGGGTCCATGCCATTATGGAAACAATGACCACTCTTTTGTCCCTCATGTTTACATATTAGGCACTGCAGAGAGAGGAGATGTAAAATGCATCCTTCATAAGAAGGGATATAAGCCCACCCTGTTGAATTGATGAAGTGCTGCTATGGCGAGAAAGAGTGCTAATGCAGAAATCATTGCACCTGAGAAAAAATGCATTTGGCACACTAGCTTAATTTGAACATTTCTGAGTAAAGCTAGAATAATAAAGTAATTACTAGGGGGCTTGTAAAAAATTTTAAGCTTAATGTTTACATTTATAGATATAACATATTCATTCTTAAATATGCTGAACACCTCTGAATTATATTGCTAAGGGATGTCCAACATACCACAGAAGCAGATGAGCATTTTTGGAATTTAGATTCCTACTACAAATACCCAGTAGTTCAACCACCTGTCTGCCACAGGCACCTTGACTTCCTTAGGTAATGCCCATCTTTTTTCTATTCTTCAAATTACTCATCTGTAGGATGGCTCAGTGTGTCACATACGGTATACTTGATGGGACACTTCACAACCTCCCACCTTGAAGCTGGCTCTTCAGCTCAAGCTGTCAACACATATGCCTTTTGTTCTGAAGTTCGTACTTCTGCCCCTAGCACCAGACAACATACTGTCCCCTGCCTCTGCTGCAACACAGTTTAATCTAAGCCTTATTAGTATGTCGAGTGGCAAAAGCAAATAAAAGGAGAAAAGATGCAAGGCTGACTATTAAACAAAACCATTAAGCGACTTCAGAATTCACAGTCAAGAAGCATTGTGGTTTTGGTCTTGTCATGTTTGTCATGAACATCTACCCTTTGATTATCCCCAGTCAAACAATGCAGCTAATGTACCTGCTGTGAAGAGGTTTGAGATATAGGGGCAGTTTATCACATTTTTGAAAACGCTCAAATAGTGTTAACTTTAAAATTTTTACAACTGACTACTCAAAATTCTTGAGGAACAGAAACACTGAAGGTTGTGTCCTAGACTTCATCAAAGGGAAAAGCTGTTTACTCTGTGTTTCCAATGAGGTTTCACAAATGATTTGTGATCATACTGTTAAGAAGTACTAATGATCAGGGGTCACTTATGGATTTCTGTTGAATCTTAATTACATTCATAGATAAGACTTTTATACTTTCAAATACAACACTGATATATGAAAATCTTGAAGATCTCAAAGCCTTAACTGCACATAAACATGCTTTCTGTGAACATGAATACATGTTTTTTCTGAATTCATTCATCTTCCAGTGCTTTTGCTAGGAAAGAAAATTATAAGCACAAGTATAATGTGAAATTCTATAAAAATAGCATTAGAAAAGTTCTGAAGAGGCCATCTTTTTCATCCCTGCCCCACTCCACAAATCCACTTAAGTAAATTGAACAATATTTGCTTAACCTTATTTTAAAGTCTTCCATGAAAGAAATTACCTAATTTTTCAAATACTGAAATAGATTTCCTCACTAACCTGTTAGAAATGTCTTTGAAACCCAGATGTCTTTTATTACACAGTAAGATTATCACTTCTTATCCTACCTGCTACAGTTACTATGAAAAGGCATACTGAATAC